CAAGCGGCACAGAGGTAGGGCAGGAGGAGGAGAGAGGTCAGCACATTCCACATTCGTCGATTGCCGGAGAGGGAGGACATACTGGGGGTGTTCCAATTGATGCACGTACGTCGGCTCCTGCAGCACCCCATTACGCTGCTGAGTGGATTCTGTGAGTGGCAGAGGAGGAGATGATTGGGAGGGAGGGTCATCATGCGGATGAGAGGCTGGAGGACACACACCACGTGTGCCAGGTCGCTGAGCAGGTTGTACATCGAGGCGGCGGTTCACAGAGCATCACTCAGTCGGTTGTCCAGAGGGTCGTGCTACGTGGCAAGGATGGTGATGGACTGGTGGCGGGCGGAGGTGGAGAGCGTAGGGTGAGTGACGTCATTCGTCCTACTGTGGTTCAGACCTCGAAGCAGAGGATTGGTTGTGCTTCCTCAGCGCACGTGAGCCAGAGGGTGGATGACAGGGCGGACCTATTACCAGCGTCTGTCGCAGAGCTTGGTGCGGAGCAGAGGGTGGAGCAGAGGGTAGATGAGATGGTGCAGGACAGGGCGGAGCCGATGGCTGACCAGAGGATTGAACACCGGAGAGAGCGGAGGGATGAACACAGCTTGGAGGTTCAGGTAGACGTTACCATGGAGAGAGCGTGGTTCGACGGATGGAGGACAGGGGCAGCGAGAGGAGGGGTGTAACATCTACACGCGAGAGTATGATCCAGAGTGAGGGTGCTCAGGTTGCTACAGAGGATGGGGGGGGGAGGGAGAGTGATGTTAGACTGTCGACTGCCTCATTCTATGGGATTCCGCCCATGCCCACACGCGCCACACCATCACTCGATGCAGCAAGTGTTCATCTTCTCGGCAGATCGACGACAGTTGGACGTCATGGTGGTGGCACTTCATCTCCCGCAGTGTCCTCTGGCAGTTCCCTACACCACCCCCCATTGGTGACTTTACGACGCCCGGCTGCGCACACGAGTAGAGCATCCACTTCGTCAGAGGCGGCTGCCCCTCCTGTGCGTAGTCCATCAGGCGTGCCACCGCTTCTTGCACGACTTCCATCAGCCATTGTTGATAATGTGAAGACAAGTCGTGCAGGCAGGAAGAGGAGGAGGGAGGATGACGGAGGCGCATTACCACCTACTCCACGATCGCAGGGTGGCACAGGCAGACCTCGTGGTCGCCCGCGAGGCTCAGGATCAGGCAGGGGTCGAGGCAGGGGTCGTGATTCATGGGCGNCTCCACGATCGCAGGGTGGCACAGGCAGACCTCGTGGTCGCCCGCGAGGCTCAGGATCAGGCAGGGGTCGAGGCAGGGGTCGTGATTCATGGGCGATGAGTGCATTGGGGGCAGATGACGCGGGTAAGGACGATGTTGGGCAGGACACCACTGCATGCACTGATGTGATGGTGGGTGTTCGCACGAGGTCTCAGGCCTCGAGTGGAGTTCGCAATACGAAATCCACTCGTATCATTGACGACGATTCAGATGCCGCCTTAAGTGATGGTCTTTCTGGTAGTGACTACGTGGATGAGAGGGATAGTGAGACTCGTGCCCGGGGAGAGGACCAAAGTGGAGATGACGATAGCTCAGATGGTAATGGGCACGAGGAGGACTAGAGGGATGTTCACTACTGATCTGAGGGATGTGTTCTGTCATCGATGGCTGTAGCATGGAACTTGGGCTTTGATGTTTCAATTTCGTGTATCTTTGACTGACATTGATGACCTTGTCTTCATACGATGCATGCACTGTTGACCTGTCATCGAGTCAATATCTCGTGTATGTGTGTGTCAAATTGCTAGTCAGTCAGTTGGTTTAGCCCCTAGGGTAAGGTCATCGTCACTGCGTGTGTGTGTGTGTGTGTGTGTGTGTGTGTGTGTGTGCATGCATGTCACAATGTGTGTGTGTGTGTGTGTGTGTGTGTGTGTGTGTG